CAAGGCTTATCATCTGCTTTTCATCCAGCCACCAATGGGGCCGCAGAAGCCGCTAACAAAATGGTGGAGCAATATCTAAGGTGCTACGTTTCTTACCAACAGACGAACTGGACTGATCTTCTCCCTTTTGCGGAGGTGGCGTACAATAATTCTGTGCACAGCAGCACCGGTTACACGCCTTTCAGAGTAGCCACAGGAAGAGAGTTCAACCCAATACCTGAATATCCTCAGATGCCCTCCGCTTCCCAGACACTTGACCAGTGGGTGAAGGGGTGGGAAGAAGTTTGGAGAAACACAAAAGCTGCTTTAAAAAAGACTTTTGAAACCTATAAAAAGCAGTCTGATAAAAAAGAGGGCTCCCCAAAGAACATTCCAAGTTGGGGAAAAAGTTTATTTGTCAACTAAATATCTACGCCTCAAGTTGCCCAGCAAGAAATTGGGACCAAAGTTTTTGGGGCCTTTCCCCATAGTAAGGATCATCAACCCAGTCACCGTAGAGCTAAAACTCCCTAAATTCTTGGGGAAAATTCACCCAGTTTTCCATTGTAGCTTGTTGAAGCCATATCGGAGCTCCACATTAAGACCTCCTCCGAGGAAGGCACCTGGACCCCTCGTGGTTGCGGGGCAGACCCACTATGAAGTAAAGCGTATTCTTGACTCTAGAATCTTTAGAGGGAAATTGCAGTATCTAATACAATGGAAGGGATACCCGTTGTCCGAAGCCACCTGGGTGAAGTCCAGTGAAGTAAAGGCTAATAGATTGGTCAAAAGGTTTCATGTGAAACACAACAAACCGAAAGATGACTCTTAACATATGCTTTGGGTTGCTTTACAGGATCGGTCCTTTTTGTAAGGGGGGCCGGATGTCAACGCTGCAAATACTGTATATTCTTGCTTTGACAATATGCAGAGCTGTCTGGTATTTATATAGTTAAACCAGGCAGAAGGGGAAAAGAAACCGGATGTAAATCACATCTTCCAAGTTGATTGGAAGATGTGAACCATGACCCCAAAAAAGGGTGGGAGGGAAATTATTATTATTATTATTATTCGAATTTATATTATTATTATTATTATTATTATTATTTATTAGACTTATATGCCGCCCTTCTCCCCATAGGACTCAGGGCGGCTCACAGCATATTAAAACAGTACCAAAGCATTATCCCCAATAAAAACCAATTAAAAACAAATATTTACCGATGTGTCATGTTAAAATAATAATTAAAATTGTCCCTATTTAAAATTCTCCCTAGGCCAGACCCGCTTGCTGAAAAAGCCATGTCTTGAGGGCGCAGCGGAAAGCTAGGAGATCCGGAATCGTCCGGATCTCGGGGGTTAGTTCGTTCCAGAGGGTGGGGGCACCCACAGAGAAGGCCCTCCCCCTGGGGGTCGCCAGCCGACATTGCTTGGCCGACGGCACCCTGAGGAGGCCCGCTCTGTGGGAGCGTACCGGTCTATGGGAGGGAATCTGTGGCAGAAGGCGGTCTCGGAGATATCCAGGTCCGATGCCATGGAGCGCTTTAAAGGTGGTAACTAACACCTTAAAGCGTACCCGGAAGGCCACTGGTAACCAGTGCAGCTCGCGCAGCAGCGGTGTTACGTGGGAGCGACGAGTCCCTCCCAACACCGCCCGCGCGGCCGCATTCTGGACCAGCTNGCAACTCAACAAATGCAACCGTGCGGTCCTCCGAGGTGTTCCCGGGGAACGTCGACAGCCTCCCGCTGCTTTTCTGCTCTCGAGGAAGGAGGACCGCTTATCCCACTGCCTCCCCATTTCTCTGGCCGTGGGATAAGTGATTTGAGGGGGGGACCACCAAGTCCGCTGAGGACTTCTGTGCCCGTTTTCCCAACAGCCGTTGTCGAGTTAAAACGGGTTCTGTAGCCCACACGGGACGCTATCCAGTGTCAACGAACGGACGCTGGCCCGAGCAGCGGGGGACCCCCGTGGCCCGGGGATCAGGCATTTGAGGGGGGGAAACAGGAAACAGAACCTTCGGGAAACCAAATTGGGCCGTCAGGAAGCCGAGATCCCACTAAGAATCAACCAAGGCTTCCTCACTTATCTAGGGACCCCCCCCCCAATTTGGAATCATCTCTAATCAAACCAAGTTTAATGGAGGGAGGGGAGTGGGAAATGGGCAGTGCAAGGGACCCCAGCCCAGCCTTTAATGGCTCGTCCCGGGTTGACTCACTGTAGAACTGACTCACTGTCTAGGCTGTGTGTACGGCTGCGTGTGTGTGTGTGTATGTGTGTGTGTTGAACAGCTGAATCATCTATGCAACCCCCCCATCAGACTGGAGGGCAGCCCCCAAAGCTTTGAGCAAGGGCTGGCGCCGCAGCTTCGCCTCTCCCCGCCCGTCTCGACTATCGCCACTGAAGCGTACCGAAACAAGACAGATCGTCCTGGTCAGTGGCCCTGCCTGGGGCTGAAAGAAAAGGCAACCAGAAAAGTAACCGTTTTGGGCGTTAGCATCGCCGCACAGTGGCTGACCGATTTACCACCATCTTGCCCAGGACTCCACCCGAAATGAGGAACGTCCAGGAGGACGGAGAGGGGGGAGCCGTGGCAGCCATTGGTGCGCCCGCCCACCGCTCAGGTCTTGTTGAGGGTCCAGAGGGGGTCCAGCCTGCTGAGAGGGTCGTCGCTGGGGAGGGCTCCTCGCAGACCCTCCCCGTTCTGCGGATGGAGGAAACTCTGCTTGCTCACTTTGTGCCGGCCCTTCAGCGAATTGTCCAGGGTGAAGGCCTCCGGGGTGAGCGAAGCCAGGAGCTCCAAGGAGGAAGAGGAGGTAGGCGGGGCCGGCGTGGAAGCCGATGGCTCCACCCTCGGAAGACTCGGCAAACCCTCCGTCTTTTCCTCGCTTGTCTCCTCTTCCACGGAGCCCCGCCTCTCTACCGCTGGAATGGCCACCGTCTCGAGCAACGCCGGAGCAGGCGTGGCGGGCGGAGAAAACGCCGGCGCGCTCTCCAGACAGCTCGGCTCGGGAAAGATCCGTGGAGCAGCGGAAGACAATGCCGGCAGGAGTGCGGCATCAACGGGGGGAACAGAGGATGCCGGCTCGAATCCTCGACCGTTGGGGGGAGCCTCGGCCCCGCCCGGGAGAGGCCGGATGCTGAGTTTGGCGATGGTGGCTTGGATGGAGCTGATGGGGACGTCGCCCCCCAAGACCAGATCCTGGGGGTCCTGCTGGAGATATACCTGGAAGAAGAGAGGGGGCGGCTGAGCAGAGCGTCACAGGTAGTCGACGTAAAACTATTTAGTGACCGTTCAAAGTTACAACGGCGCGGAAATGATCGTTTTTCACACGACCCTTCCAGCATCTCCAGGGTCACGTGACTTACATTCGGCGGCTTCACAACCGACTCACAATTTAGGACGGTCGCCGTGTCCCGGAGCCATGTGATTCCCCCCCCTTTTGCGCTCTTCCGACGAGCGACGCCGAGGGGGAAAACCCAAATTCGCTTTATAAAACCGGGCGACCAATTGAAGGACTTCCGTGATTCCCTTCGCCAATTTGTCAAAGCGGGTTTTGTCCCCTTTTGCGCCTTTTCTCAAAAGTCGTAAAGCGGGACAAAACGCCCTCAACGGATTTCCCGCTCCGCAACATAAACGCCGGGCTCGGCTGCCGTCAAGAGGTGGAGGAGGACCTGTTTGAGCACAGAGGTCGTTGCCTAAAAATGCAGGGGTGTCCAAGCATGGACGGGCTCAAATCTTCCCCCTTCTGAAACCATTGGGAAATCCTGCCTCACCTTCTGGGCGCTGCTGCTGGCCGGCTTGCTGGTGGAGGCTGCGGCCGTCACCCCGTGCCTCTGCAGCACCTGCGTGGCGTGCTTCAGGACCGCCTCGTAGCAGAACCGGAGGTGGACCTGCAAGAGAAATTGGCCGTCAGGAACCCCCCTCCCAAAGCAGGCCGCTACTCCGGAGCTGGACCCGCCTGCCCCCGCACCTTCTCCTGCAACATGTGTTTCCTCTGCCGACGGATGTGCTTGACCAGTTGAACCAAGTCCGGGATGCTGTTGCCGGCTTCCACTTCCTGCATGGCGGCGTAGAGGAGGCAGAAGGCGCCCGTACGGCCCACCCCGGAGCTGCCAGGAAGAAGAGAGAGACGACCAATCCCCCAAAATCTTGCAGGTCCATTTCCCGCACGGTTCTGGAGGACCCGAATTGGCTAGGCCCATGGGGGGAATTTTCTGGGGGAACCCACCCCAAAAAGCCAAACGGGACAACACGCCGCAGCCAATCCGCCACGGCCGACTCGCTCCGGCACGACTCGCTGCAGGACAGTTGAACCATTCGATTTATTTTAATTTGAGATAATTGGTTTTAAATTTAGCCGTTCGCGTTTCACTCTGTCCTTTTTTTGGCATCCTGTCTTTCCGTGATTCTATTTCACCATTTCTTCGATATTAGTGGAAGTCTTCTCCTGCCGAGTTGGCTGTGATGAGTTGACCGTGATGAGCTGACTGTGACGAGTTCGCCTAGATGAGTTGACCATGACAAATTGGCCATGACGAGTTGACCGTGACGAATTGGCCATGACAAGTTGACTGTGACGAGTTCGCCGTGATGAGTTGACCATGACAAATTGGCCATGACAAGTTGACCGTGACGAGTTGACCGTGACGAATTGGCCATGACAAGTTGACCGTGATGAGTTCGCCGTGATGAGTTGACCATGACAAATTGGCCATGATGAATTGGCCATGACAAGTTGACCGTGACGAGCTGGCCGTGACGAGTTGACTGTGACGAGTTCGCCGTGATGAGTTGACCTGATGAATTGGCCGTGACGAGTTGGCCGTGACGAGTTGACCATGAGAAATTGGCCGTGATGAATTGACCGTGACGAGTCGGCCGTGACGAGTTGGCCGTGACGAGTCGACCGTGAGAAATTGGCTGTGAAGAGCTGATCGTGACGAGTTGACCGTGACAAATTGGTTGTGACGAGCTGATGAGTTGGCCGTGACGAGTTGACCGTGACGAGCTGGCCGTGACGAATTGGCCGTGGCGAATTGTCACAAACGCTCCCAAAAGACCCAGGAGGACAGGGGCAAGATTGGCAGCGGGACCCTCCCTGGGATCCCCCAAAGTTGTGGGGTATCCCTGACGCCGGCCATTTTGGGGATTGCCAGCTGCTCCCCACATTACCTGCAGTGAACCACAATTGGGGTGTGGAGGGGGCGCTGGTGGAGGTAATGGCTGTGCACGTCCTGGATAAACCGAAGCAAATTGCTTTTGCTGTCCGGTAGGCCGCTGTAGAAAGAAATTCATTTAGTTCACTCATTCATTCAAATTTATATTCACGTTTTCAAATCGTTCACTCATTCGTATGTGGTTTTTCATTCCTTGATTACGTTTATATGTGTTTTTCTTTCATTCATTGAAACTTAGATGCAATTTTTCCTGTATTTATTCAATGTAGATGTAGCTTTTTTTTCCCTTTCGTTTGTCTATTCGTTTCTAAATTCAATTTATTTTTCCATCTGTTCATGTGGTGGGCTTTTTCATTCACTCATTCCTTTATTAAATTGATCTGCACTTTTTCTTTCATTCATTCATGAAATTTGTCTTTTTCTTTCGCCAATGCTTTAAATATTCATTCGTTCAATTGTGCGGTTTTTTTTTATGCATTCCTTTATTAAACATATATGCGCTTTTTCATTCGTTCCTTTATTAAATTGATCTGCACTTTTTCTTTCATTCATTCATGAAGTTTGTCTTTTGCTTTCGCTGATGCTTTAAATATTCATTCATTCATTCGTGCGGCTTCTTTTTTCATGCCTTCCTTTATTGAACATATATGCGCTTTTTCATTCGTTCCTTTATTAAAACCGATCTACGCTTTTTCATTCATTCATTCATTCATTCATTCATTCATTCATTCATTCATTCCACTCGTGTCTTTTTCTTTCAACGATTCGTTAAAATTGGCTTTTTCGTTCGTTCGTTCATGTGGATTTTTCCCCCACACCTTCATTCATTCAATATGTAGGCGGCGTTTCGTTCATTCGTTTATTAAATCGATCCGCACTTTTTCTTTCATTCACTCGTTTATTAAATGTGTTCCTTTTTCATTCAACGATTCATTGGAAAAAAAATGTCATTCACTCGCTCGTTTTTTCATTCGTTTACTGAGCGTGTATGCGGTTTGTCATGCGTCCCCGTTTCTTAAATTTGCGGCTCTTTTTCGCCGATTAAAAAAATATATCATTCGTTCGTTCGTGGTTTTTTTCATTCATTGGTTCATTTGTTGATTAGTCATTCAATTCAATTCATTCATTCCACATACTGCCCATCTCGATCAAGCCAGTGCCTGAAGCCGGTAGAGACCATCTCAGCCCCATCTGCTGCCCCCCCAAACCAGGCTGCCCACCCCCCACCCTACCATCCCACTGTGCCTTATGGGGCTCTGGCTGGCCTCTCCCCTTCCCCACCAATCCCGGGGGTTTACGTACAGCTCCGGCCAAGAGGAGAACTGTAAGTGGATCACGGTCCGTTTCAAGCTCTGATCGCGGAACTGCAGCGTAACCATCCTCTCCAGGTGGGTGGGCGTCGCCTTCAGGCTGGTGAGGACCAGGGTGATGGGGCCGTGGTCCACGGGCTGGCCTCGCTCCGTGGGGAAGTACCGGATCACCTTTTGCTGTCGGGATGGGAAAGGTTAGAAGGGGGGTGGGTCATCCTGAAACTCCCCCCACGCCTCTCCAGCCTGGCTCCAGGAGAGACTTTTGTGCTCGTTCGGATCAGGACTCCGACCTCCATCCTCCTCAGCCGTCGCTCTTCTGGTAGGTGTCGGAGAGGAGCCCGATCAGAAGCCGGAGACCAGACCACGGAGGGGTGGAATTGTGTGGCTTCTCCTCCTACCGACCCCAGGCAGAAGTGCGATGGGTGAGGACGATGGAGCTTGGAGTCCTGAACCTGAATGAGCAGCATCGTAAAGCCCTGTCCAGTTATCGCTGACTCAGCACTGACCTCCCCCCCCAGGGCAGAGGTCCCAAAAAGCTCCACGGGAACCTTAGTGCTCTCTGAGCTTGGTGGTTTTCCTTGCAGACATTTCATGACCCAACTAGGTAATATCAGCAGGGAGGTGGGATTGTGGAGAGGAGGATGAAGAGGAGAAGGGGAAGAGTCTAAACATCATCAGTGCTAGAAGGGAGGTGGGATTGCAGCGAGGAGGACAAAGAGGAGAAGGAGGAGGAGGAGTTTAAATAACATCAGTGTTACAAAGGAAGTGGGATTGCAGAGAGGAGGACGAAGAGGAGAACGGGAGGAGTCTAAACATCATCAGTGCTAGAAGGAAGGTGGGATTGCAGAGAGGAGGACGAAGAGGAGACATCTAAATAGCATCATCAGTGCTAGAAGGGAGGTGGGATTGCGGAGAGGAGGACGAAGAGGAGAACGGGAAGAGTCTAAACAACATCAGTGCTAGAAGGGAGGTGGGATTGCAGAGAGGAGGACGAAGAGGAGAAGGGGAGGAGAAGTCTAAATAACATCATCAGTGTTAGACAGGAAGTGGGATTGCAGCGAGGAGGACGAAAAAAAGAACAGGAGGAGTCTAAACATCATCAGTGCTAGAAGGAAGGTGGGATTGCGGAGAGGAGGACAAAGAGGAGAAGCGGAGGAGGAGTCTAAACAACATCATCAGTGTTAGACAGGAAGTGGGATTGCAGAGAGGAGGACGAAGAGGAGAACAGGAGGAGTCTAAACATCATCAGTGCTAGAAGGGAGGTGGGATTGCGGAGAGGAGGACGAAGAGGAGAAGGGGAGGAGTCTAAACATCATCAGTGCTAGAAAGAAGGTGAGATTGCAGCGAGGAGGACAAAGAGGAGAAGCGGAGGAGGAGTCTAAACAACATCATCAGTGTTAGACAGGAAGTGGGATTGCAGCGGGGAGGACGAAGAGGAGAACGGGAGGAGTCTAAACATCATCAGTGCTAGAAGGAAGGTGGGATTGCGGAGAGGAGGACGAAGAGGAGAAGGGGAGAAGTCTAAATAACATCATCAGTGTTAGACAGGAAGTGGGATTGCAGCGAGGTGAACGAAGAAAAGAACAGGAGGAGTCTAAACATCATCAGTGCTAGAAGAAAGGTGGGATTGCGGAGAGGAGGACGAAGAGGAGAAGCGGAGGAGGAGTCTAAACAACATCATCAGTGTTAGACAGGAAGTGGGATTGCAGCGAGGAGGATGAAGAGAACGGGAGGAGTCTAAACATCATCAGTGCTAGAAAGGAGGTGGGATTGCGGTGAGGACGAAGAGAAGGGGAGGAGGACTTTAAACAACATCAGTGCTAGAAGGGAGGTGGGATTGCAGCGAGGAGGAGGAAGAGGAGAAGGAGTCTAAATAATTTCATCAGTGCTAGAAGGAAGGTGGGATTGCAGCGAGGAGGACGAAGAGAAGAGCAGGAGTCTAGATAACATCATCAGTGATAAAAAGCAGGGGGTTGGCGGAGAGAACGAGGGGACGAGGAAGAGGAGGCCGTCCCCACCGCCCCTGCGTCCTGTCAAAGGCCTGACCTGGGTCCTAGCCCTTCTCTGCCCCCAATGAACCCCCCTTCTAAAGCTACTGTTGCCCCCAGACTCTCCGGCTTAGTAGCAGTTCACCACCGTAACCTATCTGGGACAGTTTTCAATGTTATCCTTATTAAATTTATACACCATCCATCTCGCCAACCAGCCACTGTTTCGCATAGCTTGTGGAGAGGGTCCGAAGCTCAGAGAGAACCGAGGGTGCGCCGGATTTTCGACCCACCCATTTGCTGCCGAGATCTCTCTCCGGATCACCATACTGCCATGCCAACCACCCCACAACTCAGCCCACCTTCTCCATCTCCTGCTCCGAGACCAGCATGACCACCAGTGAGACTTTCTGCTCGTAGATCATCAGCCAGAAGTCCGAGACGGTGCCCACCAGCGGGGCCTGCGTGGCGATGACGGTGGGGCAGTAGGAGGAGAGGTCCTCGATCCGGCTGGCGTTGACGTAGTCGTCCTTGCCCGACTGGAGGACCACTCGGTTCCGGTCGTACGGCATGATGTCCTGGTGGCGGTTCTTCATGGTGTAGCAACGAGCAATGGCGATGGACAGCTGGCGGGCGTCCTTCTCCTGGGCGTCCTGAAGTTCCTTCCAGATGTTATCCAGCTCGCTGACCGTGCCCGGCGCGGGGCTCTTTTCCAACCGGGACACCCTTTCTTGGAAACGTTCCAGCTCGGACAGGAGGCGCCAAAGACGCTCGGGTTTCTCGTACGGGTCGTTCTCGATCAGCTGGACGGCTTTGGGCTTCCACCCGTCCTTGGCGTCGGCCTTGGTGGGTTGAAGGAGGGGCTGCCCGACGGGCGCCTTGGGACCCCCGTGCTGGCTTTCGGGGCTGGAGGATAGCAGGTCATCGGTGGAGCTGCTCGGGCGCTGGAAGGGGACCTCGGAGGCGCCGTGGGACAAGGACGGAGGACCGGGAGTCAGCGAGGAGGGGGGCAGCTGGGAGGGCAAAAGGCAGGGGGGTGGGAGGGTCATGGAGGGGCGTGGAGAAGGGGCCGGTGGGGGAACTGCCCCTCCAACCGGGCTAGGAGCAGGAGGAACATGGTGGAGTGGCTGGCTAACCGGGGGTGGCTGAGGGCCAGCCAGCGCTACAGGGACTCCCGGGAGCTGGGCTGACGTCGGAGCAACAGGAGCGAACGCGAGGGGGGCTGCTGTGCCGGGAGGGTGAAGGGGCACCTGCAGGACGGGGCCCATCATACCTCTGGGGGCCGGGGCGGAGAAGGCTAAGCTGCCCGAGTGGGGTGGCAGCTGATAATGTTGAGGTCCCAGCTGGAGGGGGTGCTGCCCTTGGCTAGCGGGATGCACGGGGACTGGATTCGGGAGTGCCGGTGGCCCGCGGGGCTGAGACGGGTACGGCTGGGGGAAGGCCGGCTGCGGTTGCTGGGTCTGGGGCAGGAAACGGGGCAGTTGCTGCTGCTGCTGCTGTGGGGGCAGCACGGCGGGCATCGCCGGCAAGCAAGCCGGGCGATCGGAGGGCGGACGGAGGGGTCTCTGCGACGGGAAGGCGGGCTGGGGCGGAGGGCCAGAGAAAGGAGGCAGGAAGGGCGCCGTGCCTGCCGGGACATAGGCAAAAGGGTAGGGGGCAGACCCCCCCACAAAGCCCCCTTGGGAAGGAGGCCCCGTCCACTGGGGGAGAGAACCGGTCATCCCCGGCGGTGCCGTGCAGCTGGAGATGGGGGCCTGCAGGCTGTCCACTGTGGTGGTGGCGGGCCGGATGCCCTGCGTGTGCGGTGGAAAATGGGGGGCAACAAAGGGGCCGGGCACCGGAGCCGGAGGCCTCATGGCCAGAGGCGTGGGAGGGCCTCCCGGCAACACCCCGCTAGATGGCGGCAGCGGTCCCACCCCATAAACGGACCCCGGGGCGGGACGAGGCATTGGTACGTGCTGTGGAGACGTCCTCGGGGGTGGAAGGGGGGGCCCGCGGTACGCCGGCTGTTGTGAGACGTGGGCCGGACCTGGGGTGGCGGTAACCCCCGGCGGGTAGACCTGTGAATTCGGCAAAGGGGGCGGCGCAGAGCTTCGGGGAGCCAGTACGGGGAAAGGAGCGTGTCCAGAGACGGTGGGCACCCTGGTGGAGTGGTACGGCTGGGGAGGGGGTCCGGTCACCGGGAACTGGCCCGGATGAAAGGGAGGCCTGAGAGGAATGCCTGCCCCAAAAGTTTCGCCCGCGGGACCCCGGATCCCCATCGCAGGCAACGGTGGCTCACTACGTAGAGCCGCCAGCGCATCGGCGGGGAGCTGCGCCAGGTGAGCGGCCAGGACTTCCGGTGGGAGGCTGCGCAGTTCCTCGGGCAAGTCGGCGAGCGAAATGGAGGCCAGGCTCAACGGCTCGCAGCTGAGCTCGGCCTCTGAAGACTTCTTTTGGAGGGTGGGTTTCGAGGTGGTGGGCCGGGTGGGAGTCTTCTTCTTCATCTCCCTGTTGGAAGAAGCATAGAGACGGAAACGGTGAGGCTCAGCTCAGCGGTTCAGCTCCCTGTGGGATTCGGAGCTGGCCGCGCTCGTTCAGCCTGGCCTACCTGGCAGGGGTGTCATTGGAAAAGTCAAGGACAACTCACCACGGCCAACTTGTTGCAGGATAACTTGCCACTGGACGATTCAACACTGCGTTCATTTCATTCGTTCCTTTTGTTACTGGTGACTACGTTTTCGTCGAAATTATTGTAACTCTCATATTTCTGGATCGACTTTATTACTGATTTTAGTATTACTGGCCACAGTCCGTTAATTCAATTTTTTTGTATTTGTTGAGTTGTCCGCGGCAAGTTATCCGCGGCGAATTGTCCGCAGCAAATTATCGGCAGCAAGTTGTCCGTGGTGAATTGTCAACCATGAATTTTTCCTGTTTTCCGTGACTAATTGTCCACGATTAGTTGTTCGCGGCAAGCTGTCCGCAACAAATTGTCCACAATGAGTTGTCCGCGGCAGGTTACCCGCGACAAATTGTCCACGACGAGTTATCCCATTGTGGACATTGGATATTTGTTCAGACATTTGAACAAATCATGGAACCCACCGCCAACTGGAGTCTAATGCGGGCTGAAGACCCCGTCCATTTCCTCCAGAGCCTCATAATTCAATTCGTGTCCGCAAACCGGATTGTGTCCAATTCTTAACGAATCCGAGCAACTTCCAGAATTCCCAAGCTAGCGTGATTTAACAAGGCAGGACTTCAACTCCCAGAATCCCCCAGCCGGCATGCTTTAAGAGTGTTGGACTTCAACTCCCAGAATCCCCCAGCCAGAGTGATTTAAGAGGGGTGGACTTCAGCTCCCAGAATCCCCCAGCCAGCGTGCTTTAAGAGGGCTGGACTTTGACTCCCAGAATCCCCCAGCCAGGATGCTTTAAGAGGAGAGGACTTCAACTCCCAGAATCCCCCAGCCAGAGTGATTTAAGAGTGTTGGATGTCAAATCCCAGAATCCCCCAGCCAGCGTGCTTTAAGTGGGGTAGACCCAGAATCCCTCAGCCAGCATGCTTTAAGAGTGTTGGACTTCAACTCCCAGAATCCCCCAGCCAGCATGATTTAAGATGAATGGACTTTAACTCCCAGAATTCCCCAGCCGGCGTTCTTTAAGAGGGGAGGATTGCGACTCCCAGAATCCCCCAGCCTGCATGCTCTACGAGGGGACGACTTGGATTCCCAGAATCCCCCCAGAACAGACACCTCGCACAAAAGGAACCAATCCCCGTCCCAGCTTCCTTCCGTAAGGAATCGCTTACTTCTCCAAGATCTGCTGGCGGTGGCTTTCGGCCATTTTGCAGGCCGCCTGGGCCTTTTCTAGAAGCTTCCCCACTTTGCTTTCCAAGTCGGCGTAAAATTCTTTCCCTTCTTGCGACTTCTTCATCAAGTCTTCGTAGGCCTCATACGACGCCACCAAAGTCTGTAGAGTTGTGTTCCACCTGGACGGAGTTGGGGGCGGGGCGGGACAAAAGAGGAGTGACAGGTGATCAAAATACAGACAAGCCCTCGACTTGCGACCGGATGGCTTAGCGACCTTTTGATGCGAACGACAGACCTGCTCGGGACGACGGCTACCACTCGACAAACTACCACAATCGAGCCCAAAAAATTTAGGTTGGCCGAGCCGGATGTTGTTTTTTTTGGGGGGTCTCGTTTTACGACCGTCGTTAAGCGAATCGCCATGGTTGTTAAGCGAATCGTGCAGTCGTTAAGCAAATCCGGCTACCTCATTGACTTTGCTCAGTCGAAGGGTCAGGAAAGGGAATGGCGTGACACACACAAACACACACACACTCCCTGGGGACGCTGCAACCGTCATAAATACGAGTCCGTCGCCAAGCGTCTGAATTTGGGATCGGGTGACTACGGGGAATGGGTATAACGGTCGTAAGGGCGAGGACCAGTTGCAAGTCACTTTTTTTTCCCAGGGCTGTTGTTCCAGTCTAGGACTGTAGAACGAGTCCTCCACGTAGACTGTGCGACATTACGACGGGCTCGTTCAGGACTACGAATGAAATGTCGACGTTCTGACCGCTCTCGGCCCCTCGCCCGCGTTCACACAATCGCGTTCGGGCACTGGGCGACCGGGGCCCGCCTTTGCGGCTCTTTGCGGAATCCCGGGGCTCACGTGACCACGATTGAGAGTTAGTGCCGGAAAACTGGGGTTTAAATTCTGGTGTCCGGCAAACCAACCCACCCACCCCACTGCAACGAATGGGACTGCCGAGCGCAAGAGGCGTTCACTCTACGGCGGCCGCAGAAAAGATAATAAAAACGATCGTGGTCACGTGGGGATCTACTTAACGATCAGCCTGGCCATAATTCTGGAGGAGGAGGAGGAGGAGGAGGAGGAGGAGGAGGAGGA